CCCTCCCTTTCATTGACGAACAAAAGAAGCTTCTTCTACTCTGACTCACTTCACTTGTACGGCTACTCCCATGGCGACTTCGTTCTCTTCCACTGCTCACGCGACACCGATTCTTCAATTCAGAGCCAAGTCTTTCCCCTTTCTCCCAGGTAATGGGGTTTCGTTTCTTCATTTTCGAATCAGACTCCTCTCTTGTTTACTCTATCTGGCTTGGTCGTTGATGTTTTATCTACCTTGGTAGTTTCGTGTTGGAGGAGAGTCGATTCGGCGAAATCTCCCTCTGCACGCTTAATTGCGTGTTCATTACGAACCGATAAGCTTCGTCTCGGTACCGGCGTTAATCTCTCCGGTGGTCCCGTTGTCAGGCGGTCACTTCAGAAGAGGTCGGTTCCATTTTAATCATGAAACAATTGTGGAGTGAAATAGGGTTTTGCGAAATTCTCTAATTCCGATTTCTGTGCTTCGTTTTTTACTGTTTTGTGTTCTTATCTCTTATTTCAGGCTGGTGATAAGGTCTGCAACTATTGAAGAAATTGAAGCGGAGAAATCTGCTATTGAGAGTGATGTTGTAAGTATTGTTTATTGATTTGTGGAACTTAGGTATGTATCACTGTGGATGTGATTTCAGGGTCTCTTTCTTTTGCTTGTGCAAATTCAGAAATCAAAGATGGAGAAGACGATTGAAACGCTTCGTACAAGTTTCAATTCCATAAGGACAGGAAGATCCAATGCAGCAATGCTAGATAAGATCGAGGTATAAGAAGATTATGGATTCTATTTCATTTACTCCTGCATTTCCCACAAATTTCTATATATATAACTTTATCTTTGGTTTGCAGGTTGAGTACTATGGAAGTCCAGTCAGTCTGAAAAGCATAGCCCAAATCAGTACGCCCGATGGAAGTTCTCTTTTGCTGCAGCCATATGACAAATCCAGGTACATGTCCGATGCTGCGCAAATAGTTTCTTGTAGAACATGTCTTCTTTCTCTTGGTTGGTTTTGATACATCCCAATGCTTTCATACGTTCCAGCTTGAAGGCTATAGAGAAGGCCATTGTGAATTCTGATCTTGGAGTGACTCCTAGTAACGATGGAGATGTGATTCGTTTGTCCTTGCCTCCCCTAACATCTGATAGAAGAAAGGTATATATTCCTGGCAAAGCCTATTACATTTTCTCTGGTGAATTTCCAAGGTTTAGTAACTGTGCAATGTGCAATTTCTATGCTGCCTTACGTTTTGATGGTGCCACTGCAGGAACTAGCTAAGGTTGTAGCAAAACAGTCTGAAGAAGGGAAGGTAGGATAGTTTGCCTCTCTTAATAGTGGCCTAAACATATTTGAGATAATATTTTCAACATTAGTTATTTTGAGGGTGCATAATGATGTGCTTAAACTCCTCATGTTCCTTAATCTTTACCCCTCTTTTTTTTTGTTCGTACTTGGATTCTTATAGGTTGCACTGAGAAACATAAGGAGAGATGCCTTGAAATCTTATGATAAACTCGAGAAGGTTTCAAAAAGAAAATTGTTTCTTGTTGACTATTCCTTGTGCTCATCTTCGTTTGTCATTCTAAAGCATCGTGCTTCATTTTTCCAGGAGAAGAAGCTGTCAGAAGACAACGTGAAGGATTTGTCAAGTGATTTGCAGGTAAACCAAACCACAAAAAAGTTTGTTTTAATGAAAAAGGCGAGAAAATCCTACCGTGTAATGTAGGATTAAGTGTGGCTGACAAAAGTTTGATATTATTGGTAATATGGCAGAAACTAATTGATGTATACATGAAGAAGGTTGAGGAGCTCTACAAACAGAAGGAGAAGGTATGGCTATTACCTTTTTTGTGTCAATGGCTTTGAACTATTCGTGTCTTTTGATCCATTTAATGTTTGGAATCTATCAATTACTACAAGCTAAAGCACCCACACTTGTATGAATCCACAGGAATTGATGAAGGTGTGACCAAAAGAGTTGTTAGGAGACGGAACACAACGATCTGGTAAAATCCCGCACTCAAATCATCTGCTTTCTATTAGTTTTTTTCCCGGAAAATTCTGTTGTTTCTTGGGGTACAAGAACGCCTCTGGGAATAGAGAGGAACTTTATATTTTGTTTTCCATCTTTGTACAGCTAACTCTTGTTATGGTCAATTTACATTCCTCGAATCCTCTCCCTCGTATTGAATCCGGTTTTGTGTTGATTTTTGGTTCTTCTTGGTTTTTAGGATTACGATGTTGATCGACGTTTTGATTTTATGTTTGTTAAATTTTTTTAAAAATTGTATGAAGAAGTTTTTGGTTTGGTGTTGTTGGTTTTTGTTTTCTTTATATATCAAAATACTAATTAAACGGAACTAAGGTCCGATATGATTTGTTGATGGGTGATGGTTGAACCCAATTATCAAATCTTATTTTTGGCTTATTGGGTTTGGACCTATAAAGTAAAAGGTACGTGTTATACAATATATTAAATTAACATCTTCCTTATACTATTATTAATCTGATAGAATTAAGTAATTGGAGCCACTTCAAATGTATTATCCTAGCCGCATTGAGAAATCCGTCAAACCCAAACTATGTTTTCAACCATTATTCTATGCTTGCAAAGCTTCGGAAGTTAGGATAGGTGGTTTTATTTTTATTGTGAATTAAAAATTGTATTCAGGCCTTTAGTTCACGTTTTTTCCTTTATAGGTGGTAAGTTTTGACTTCTGTGAACCTTAAGCCCTACTAAAATAAAATAAAAAAGTTAATTAACTAAAACGCTATTTTGCAGAGTTATTAATTTTTAATTTTCTAAAAATACATCTATATTAGTTTTAGAAACATCCCGAATAGTCATGGTTATAATTCAACTTATGCTTTCAAAAATTTCAAACTGAGAAACGTAACATTATCACCTTTAAATAGTCTCCAAAATGGGAATTTTGATTAGTTTATTATTGGTGGTTGTAACTTGTACCTTGTAAGACATGCATGCATCAATAGTGGTGTGTTATTTAATAAATAGAGGATTTTAGTCGATTAATATCTTACATTTGTAAAAAGATTTGTTAATAAGTGAATCCCATCCACCGAGGTTTGAACCCATGATGAATACTACTATTTAATTAGTAGGCTTCATGGGAGGAGTATATTTTAATCTGTCTGGTTGCCTCACTCAAATATTAGTATATATCACTAATTATTATACTACTAATCTTTATACAATGTTATAGTATGTCAAGTGGCTGAGATGTTGGATTCCTTACATCGGAACTCCAACGAAGCTTTCGTTAATATAAGTTTTTTGTTATCGGTTTTGTATATTTATAAGGGGTGTAGGGTCAACACATTATTAAAAACACTTTAAAATATTTTTATAACTTAAAACGTGATTATAATATTTACGTTGATTCTCCCTTCATTTAACTGCATAAGACACCGTTCATCAGTCAACAGTTTCCGATAATTAATTTAACATATTTATTTTATCTGGCTACATTTGTTTGATTTGCATTATCTTATTCTAAAAAATCGTTTGACATAAGTTTATTTTAAGTTGGTTTTGATATGATTAAATTCGTTTGGACCCAGTCGCTTCGTACAAAAGTGGAATACAAAATAAATAGTGTTAATAATATGGTTAATGCATGACGCAATATATATTTGCTTGTGGCGTGGCCAACGGTAATCTGAGGCCATCCCCATGAGAGAGCGAATCACCGTGGATTTTTTTTGGCTTATTCGACACGTGGCACTGTGGGTACCGAAAGTGCTACATGGTTTCACTCGCGAGAGTACGGTTTCAATTTATACTCGCTTTGCGCACGTGGCATAAACAACCAATAGAGCGCGTTTCGGATTTGTGGTGACATCAGCATTGTTGCCTCGACAAGTCATCTAAATTTAGAGTACTAATTGGTACTTACTTATTTCAAGCTAATAATACATGTTGTTCTACTAACCATTTTTGTAAAATACAAGGTGTAGTGTAGACCACGCGACACGTGGGACATAATGACAATGCTACGTGGATGTCGTTCCCACGCGTATGGACGGCGCGTGGTTTTGTTAAGACAGCTGTTTACATAAGCAATATTTTTTAATTAAATGTGCACTCTTTTAATATGGATTTGTTAATACGATCATGGAGTGAAATTATTATTAAATACAAAATGCCTATATTTTAATTATTGTTATATGTTTTGGGTGGGCACAAGAAAAAATTATTATATAAGATGGACTTGT